TGAATCAGAAAAGGACTTTTTCTCTGTTTATGGATGGGCAGCAAACCCTGCATTCCTGTGGTCACTTGACCATGAGATCACATGAGAAGTCTGAGTGAATAACGGACTGACCTTAAGCAGTGACTACCCTTCCTGTTCTATTGATCTCATCCATTTGGGATTTTGTGGGACAAACCCTCTTATAAATTCCAGAAGTATCAATCAGTATGCTCCAAAGCACTTAGCGAGGAATGTAATTTTGAGCACCTATAATGTCCTTAGTTTTAGATGAAATCACAGGCTAAAGTGAGAATTTCATTTGCAGCTCGGCCCTTAGTGAATGGATGCATTAAATTTGTCTTTTCCAAATGCAGCAAAGTCAGATATTTTCCAGCCATTATTATTGCAAGAGGACATGCTCTCCCTCTGCAAGATAAACAACAGTAGCATCCCTGTAGCAAAACCTTCATTGCTTTGTCTCCTCACTGAGTACTCAGTCCTCAGCTGGAGGGCTGTACTGGGGCCAGCTCAGTGCCTGGAGGGGAGCAGCAGCAATTCCTCAGTGCCCCTGTGTCTGTAATGAAAGAGCTGCCTTGCTGTAAAAACACACCTGGGCCTTCAGCAGAGCCACAGATATGGGAGTACTTAGTGTTGGGCAAGATCAAAGGCATCTGGAGTTTTCCAAATTCAATTCCCAGGTGACACATTTTGCTTGCACACATCAACCATCTTCTGCTGGTAGTTACCTCTTTTTTATGGAAAGCACAGAAAGGACTGAGATCATTTTCAAGACCGTCCATCTGGCTGGAAGATGAAGCTTTCCATCTGCTTTGAAAGTATTACAAATCAGTTCTCTGTTGTTACAAAGGGACTAAAATTAATGTTTGTTGTGAATTGAAAGCAAGAGCTCATCAGGTGGGGACATTACACATTTACTGTGTTTTTTAAGTGATTTAGAATTCCTGGTAGAGCAAGGAGGGCATCTACAATTTAATGTTTTGGCTAATTATTTAGATCATCTTATTTTAGATCATCTTATTTGTATGTTCGGATGCACATTCAGGTGGCACAAATAAGCTTAGGTGCAATTAAGTCATTTAAGTGGAATCAATTAAGACTAGCTGAGAAAATGTGTAACTATTAGTTCCATAAACTTCCCTGTTTGGGTTGACAGCCAAAAACTCTTGGGAGTTAGTGGGATGTGTAAATGCTCTGGTTGTGTCTCTTTCTCCCAGTTCTAATTCTTGCACAAGTATTTATTACAGCAATTCAACACTTCAAAAACTTCCTTGGCATTGACAAAATCCTCAGAAACCTGTTTAAATATGTGTTTAATGATGTTTCATGCCACAGCAATCTGGAGTGGCTTCTTTCCTCTCAGTAGTATCATCAGAGCAATGCAGCTGCAAATTAACAAGCATAAAACAACCGCCTCTGATAAGTATGCGTTAATTTGGGTTGCTTCCCAAATTATTTCTTCCATAGCTGTATACAATGCACCACTCTTCTTAATTATCTTCTCTCCCTCCTCGAGACTCTTCCCTTGTGTGTAATTTAATTGGCTCAGTTCCCTTTCTTTTTAGCAGGAGGAGGCAACTTCAAACTAAGATTGAATGTTGCCAGTTAAGAAATATGTTCTTCCCACATATGCTTGAAAGTATTCCATGCAAACTGTTGTAATTAGTGATTGATTGGTTGATTGATTGATTTTTTTAATATAAAAGTTTTGAGACTATAAAGGTCACGTTTGTTTTTGTGCTCTGAAGAAGGTAGGAGAAACATATTTACCAACAGAAAGCTTGCACTCTAACTTGATAATCAACAGCTTTGTTATTTTTGTTGAAAGGAAATGCCATTATAGCTGGAAAATGTGAGCAGATCCATGCATACAAATATGTTGTGGAACCTACTGCTCTCCTAATTGCACTGTGCATCAAGCTGCTTGACAACACACACCAGGAGGCACAGAAAATAGCTAAATGGAGGAAAACTTACCATAAAAATTCTCATAACTTCAGTGTTTGCCTCTCCCCAGCTCACAGTGGTGCCTTGTGTTCAGTACAGTGACTGCAGGAGCACTCAGATGCTCCAGTCAAGGTCACAACCAACATACACCAGAACAAAGAACCCAAGTGTCTTAGGCCTCCACTTAGCAGCATTTCATACCCCAAATGATAAAGATCAGGGGAGAAACTGGACCACTGCCTTCCTCCCAATGGAGGAATGGGAGGCACATATTGGTGTAACCCCTGAGTTTTAAAGATCCAAACACTATAATGTAAAAACCACTATGCATTTCAAATTTGCAAAGCAGAACTGGACACTCTTTGAATAGCATTTGAATGCAGAAAGCTATTAAACAGCCTGTTGATGACATACAAATATGCCCTCACACATGAGACTTCCACATTGCCTGCTTGCCAGAGAGTAATGGGCAAAATTGTGGTTTCTTTTGCTGTGTAGGACTTGTGCAGCACAACTGACTGAGTCGTCTGGTCTCTGATGCTTTATCTCATCCAAAGTTCCCCTTGTAGAAGTCACAGCTTCTTAAGCTCTGGAGTTGACTTAGACCTCTTGAGACATGACTATGCTGAAGAGTGGCAGACCAAGTGAACTGTCTCAGGCAAGCAGGCAGAAGGATTGCACTTTGTAGTCAGCCAAAGGTTGTAGGTGGCTGGGGCAGAGTGTGGTGGTAAGGCCAGCAGCACTTTCTGCCTGGCAGACCATGGCCTGTTGGCATGGTGCCTGGCCATACTCTCCAAAAACACTTAGCTTGGAACTACTTACTTCAAATCTTGGATCTCCTTGGCCTCTTTCTTCATCGTTTTATCTATGCAAAGTGACTGTAAACTGATGGATGACTGGCAGGATTATACTATCACTTCATGTAGCTGTAATTGACTGTGTGAAGTTGAAACTTTATGTTGTGTTTTCCTTGTGGGCACAGTTGGCAGGCAGAGATCCTGCCCTCTCCATGTGCCCTTCCCCTGCTTCATCCCTGCCTGCTTGATCTTGTCCCTGTGTCACCCCTTCACTTGTGTTGACACAACTGTCTGTTCGGACTGTGCTAAAAAACATATGTGAACTGGTTTGAATTAAAAATACTTCTCATCTGATTCTTTGTCTGGCTTCATAAATAATTGGGTCTGTGCAGCTGGGAGAGGAGGGGAGGCAGTGCAGGTTGGAATGGACAGCTGGGGAAGGATGAAGGGGACCTCCTGGAGCTGCCAGTGCTGCTGAGGTGAAAAGTATCAGATGTTGTGTTTGTCAGTCAGTGCTTCTGCCTGTTCAGAGAGGCCCAGAGCAGCCTCTGCTCTCCCAAATCACTCATTTTAATGCCACTCCATAGTGCGGGTCCATTACAGGACTTGTTCTGGAGCAAATTCCTCTGAATCATTTCAGTTCTTCCCTATTCTTCATGTTCTCTGTTTGTTGTTTTCACTATAGGGTCAAATCAGGAAAATAGTTACCAACTGTACCTGTTTCCAAATTAAGACATAATTTCTGAGGAATTATAGACAAAGGAGACTATGTGTGTTCTTTCTGGCTTTACTATTTGATAATTAAACTACCTATACTACAGTGCTTTCAGGCAAGTAATTAGTGCATGACATAAGAAATAGTCTGAACAGGAGCCCTCAGAGAAGAGGTGAATATGCACATCCCAGGAAAAGCACTAATCATATGCATGAAGCACTTCTGCCTCTTGTGAATGCAGAAATTGTCCTTTTGGACTGGGTTATTTTTTCTCTTTAGATGAGAGGAGCATATTAGAATACCAGACACGTTATCTGAAACTGCCATGCCACAAGTAGCTAAATATAGTATGTCAAGTGTATTGGTATGAACTGGTATGTCATCTCTGGATCAAATCCCAACTTTTCAAAAGGTGTCCTCACTTCCACTCTCCATTTTGGCAGAGAAATAAGAAGACACTAATAGTGCAAGTGCGCAGACAGCCTGTTTTTAAATGGCAGGTTTATTAAAAATGTCCTATATCACAAACATTGGAAACATACTCGGCAGATTTTACTGTAACTGAAAGATCCAGTAGATCATGGAAAAGGAGTAACTGTCAGTGTAAATCAACCACTGGATTATGAGAAATAATGAGGCATTTTCCACAGCAAACTCCTCGCCAAACCCCATTGTCACTCAGCATCCTGGGGTTCCAGTTTGAGTTCAGTTGCCCTTAGGACGCAGCACATGGTTCATGAGTTGAGCTTTGAGTTTGTACATATTTACAGTAGAACAGCCTATAGGTTCCAGGAGAGGACACGTTAGCACCAGTGCTTATGGATTAGGGCTCACCTCGCCTCTGCCACTGCATCTGCATGGAACTGACTTTACTGAAGAGTTAGGTTAAAAAAAGGTTCATAAATCTGGCACTTGGAAGGCAAACTGTGCTCTGCAATGACCTAGGAATTCTTTGTGTATCACACTTGAATGCCTGGCTCTGGAGGCTGCCCATCAGAGTTACCTTAATGCCCTTTCTTGCACAAATGCACACTTGGCTTCCCCTCTGCTTGGACTGTTATTTAGTAATAGATGTAACCCCTTGAAACAAGGAAATCGGTGTGATTTTCTTACTGCTGTTCTAAAGCTAAGCACAAACTCTATATTTAGTGAATGTTAGACAAAATTGGTATCTTTAGCAATTTTGGTGAAACATTTTCACATAGCAAAAATTCTACATAAATACAATGTTCATAATTACTGAGATTAACAAAAAAAAAAAGGCTTTGGTTAGAAAATCAAGAAGGGTCAAATAGAAAAAGCTTTTTTAAAAAAAGGAGCCAAAGGAGTCAAATACTCTATTGAAGTCCAATGAGTGCAGAATAAAACAGCAGTCATCCATGAGTTAATTTTTCGCTATTAAAATCTTCCACCTAGAGAAGCCCATGTCTCTTGCAAGCTGTGTGCCTTTCCTGACGTTCACAGCTGGTTTCTTAGCTCCAGTACAAGCAGGGTGGCGATAACTCCACGTATTCCTGTTCAAGGCAAAGAGTCCCTCTTCCAGCTGTGAGGTAGAGATTGGGTATCATGTCACTGGGGTGTGAGATACCACTGAGTGCAGCAGTTACACATTTGTTTCTAGTTCATTTATTTCAATAGTGCAGTGGTCTTTACTGTTGGATTTCTTAGTGTGATTCTCCACAGGAGTTTCTTCTTGCTCCACTTGTACGGGTGTTTGGTGCTGAAACCCTTTCACTGTTTCTGGTCCGCGAGATTCATTCATGGTCTTCACACAGCCATTTCTCTGGTAAGCCACAATCTGATGGATGTTAACAGGCTTAGTTTCACAGATCAGTGGCACCTATGTGAAAAGCATCAAGATCTGGAATACTGCCACTGATTGCTGTATACAACAGGATACAATTTTTACTGGAAAGCCTGTGGGCTGCTTTACATTCACCAGGATTATCTAGAGCCTCCATAGACTTCCAGGACCTGTTTCTCATATACACTAAGGCATCTTTGCAACATCTGCACAAAGTGAAGGTGTCTCTGTGTAAAAGCACAAATTCTGTCATTACCCTAATTTAACTTATGGTAATAACTGCATGCCATTGGTAAAGCAATAGAAGAAGGGCAAATAGAGACTAGAATTTCAGGGCTAAGTTTAAAAGGTACAGACTCTCAGTGCTGAGCTTTGGGCAGTGCTTGCTATTAAGTGCAGTTACTTAGATCAGTAAGTCATTTGTTGTTGCCTTCTGCCTTTTTTCTAACCCAATAAACTAGCACCTGTCTCTGCACTGTTTCAAAAGAAATAAAAAGGATTTTATTAACTGATTCATAAGTTAAATATTGAAGTGTTCTTTAAATCAAACCAGATTCTGATGGGGAAAGTAAGACGTAAATACTGGCAGAGAAGAGAGGTGGGCTTGCAGCTGAGAAAATATGGCCTTTGGGTATTCATTACTAACTGCACAAATTATGCAGCCAAAATGTATGGCAGACCAGCAGTATATTTTAATACAGTTATAGAGCATGATTCAAAGAAAATCTCATCACAGATGACTAAATAATCCCTTAGGAGGGATTTTATATTATTGAAACATCTCTTCTTAAGTTCTGCCTGAGTTCTAAGTACGGTAATGAAATGTCAGAGGCCTGTGCTGTGCAGGAGCTCAGGCTACACTTCTGGCTTTGTAAGGGGTGACATACCTTACCATTAGGCTGTGTGTTTAGGTTTTTTTGCAGCTAGCTGTATGTGTAGCCCATATATTCAGGACTAATCCTGTCATCAGTAATTACTTCAGGAGGACACAGCCTGTCTTTCTATGCACAACTTGAAAGAGGAGGAATTTTAAATGAACATTGCCGGAAGGCATGAGAATGGGATTGAGTAGAATGATTGTAGAATGGGAGAAATAATGATAGAAATAAAACTTTGTTATTTGTCTGGAGTACTATAAATGATGCACAGAAATTAAACACGCTGTGAAAATTAGTCCCGATAAAGAAACTTTCCTGCATGAACTATTCTGTCTTTATGGAAGAAACGTAGTGAGAGTCTGCTATGAGCTGAAATGGTTGGAGATTAGCACCTCCAAACATCATGGGTTCATGGAATTAGGAGTCTCTTTTGTCAAGGATTTGAAGGAGGGCCATGAGAAGGAGTTCCTGTTACAGGTAACGACTGAATGATGCCAAAGAGGAAGGGGAAAATGCATAGGAGTGGAATGAGGTGGGGGCTTCAGAATGCACAGGTATGTGTGGTGTATGAAATAAGGTACAGAGAAGGAAGAACAAAAGGATGTAGTGAGGGACTTGTATTAAGTGTAAAAGGCATGAAGATGCCTGAGAATGAAGTCTAGAATGGAGTAATGTGCTTGTGCTAGTCTGGAAAGAAAATGATTGCAGTGGTGGCTTCAGATGATGCTGACACAGAGGCTGGAAACGCCCAAGGGAGTTGCTTTTGATGTGAGCTTATTGATTATGGATATACACACTCATAGGTACCTTCACCTCCCCCTACACACAAGCAGTCAAGAACATTTGTCACCCTGCTCTGTTACTGGTCACAGTTTTAGGAGAAGGACAATTACTGTCCAGTCAGGACTAGGGTCCTGAGTGGGAGACTGGCAGCTCCAGCACCTTGTGCAATGGCAGGACTGCAGCTGCTTCCCTGCTCCCAGCCCTGGTGTGCCAGGCACAGCTGGCTGGCCAGCCTGGAACTCCAGTGGCTTTTCACATGACCTCATGGAAAAACATCCCTCCACCCCACCTGCTAAGCAGCACGTGCCCAATTCTGTCCTGTCTCTGACATGCCCTTTATAAACTAGATGACCCAAATGTGGGAGCTGGCAGGTTCTTTGCCACAGCCTGGCACATGCTGGCACACCCTGGCTTATGGCATAGTTACCTCATCACCATCCTTGACAAACTCCTTCCGGCAGATGTGGGCCATGATCCCGGCAGCCAGCGCGTCTCCCAGGACATTGATCATTGTTCTGAACCTGTCTCTGGAAAATGGAATGGTCATGGTAAGTTGTTGGCTCTTTGGGTACATTCCTATGCCTTCATCACTGCAGTAATTGTAGCTAAAGCCCAGTTTTGCTGCTTTTATGAGCTAGAAGGTTTAGAGATGGTAGTGAGGAGTTTGGCATGGGGCAGCCTCCAGCTATGATGCAGCTCAGCTGGGTTTTCCAGCCTTTTCTGAGCTCAGTGTGCTGTGCTGCCACACACTTTATTTTGTAACTGAGTTAACTGGAACAGTGATGCCTCCCTACACAGGCCGGCTGATCGGCACTAAAGAGGTGTAACAGAGCAGACCACGACTGCATTTTTGTCTGAGTGTACATGAGAAGGTCCAGTAACACGGCTGATTTGGAGACTGGTGCTGCAAATGTCTTAATTCAATAAAAGTAGAGGTCAGCCAGTACAACCAGTACCTTATATCAGTGATCAAGGTCCCAATCTCAGCAACCAAAATGCTACTTAAGAAGGTTATTGAAGGTTATACCCACAAACCAAGCAGGCACTGACCATATTTAAATCACATTCATTCCTGAAAAAGCTATGGTGGCTTTGGCTCTTATGGTGGCTGTGCAATGGCTCCTAAAGATTCTTCATTTCCAGTTACCTTTTCCAATTTAAATGTGTCTGCTTGACAGTACTTTGTATATATACAGTTTAACTACTTTTCATTTATTCATGTATGGAATTTCTTCCTTTCTTTCTTTACCTTCTGCCCACTGTCTAAAAGATAAATTTATTAAAATTCAGACTGTAAATCCACAAAAGTAAGTGGCTGTCATAGACAAGTGTTAAACTTGGGTCATCCTGGAATCTGTTAGTTAAAACTGATGAGATTTCAATAGACGATACAGCTTTTAAGTCTGAAATATAATCACGTCTTTTCCAAGAAAAACATATACATTTGAAGACTGTGTCATATTAGTAACTTAATTTATAAATGTAGGTTATAAAATGGAGGTTCAGAAATCTCCAGATGTTTGGCTTATTGAAGTCAGTGATGGTCCAATATCAACACTACCCAGATTTCTGATCCTGTATCTTAATATAGAAAAGAATTGAAACTCTGTACTGATTTTTTTTCAGCTGTTTCAGGCAGGTACTTGGTGAATATAAATGTTTATCTAGTTGCCTGCTTAATTATCAGGAAAGTTCCTGCATGAAAGCTTATTTGTGTGTGCAGTTACTCAAGCTGTAGGTGCAACTGCAAGTAACTTCAGCCATAATATTCCACAGCCTACACCAGGACGTGGTTGTTGACTCCAGGACCCAGCCCTACATTTGTTTGTTCAATCCATTTTTCGAATTCCTGCTGTTCCGATTTTGGGTTTTGCCATGAAGAAAATTCCCACAAGAATATGTTAAGCAGGGAAAAATACTGTTACAGCACATATTGATAAATGTTCCTGTTAAACATTGACTTTTTTTCCCTTGGTTAATCATCAAATTGTGATTCTTGGAAAGATATTCCGCGCTGTGAATGTTGGATTGTGCAGAGAGTCAGCCGTGGTGGAGAAGAAGCTGTGTGAGCAGAGCTCGAGAGTTTGCACTCCCTCTTGAGCTCTGCTGAGCATCTTTTCTGCAGACAGGATTTTTCTGAGGAAACAGTGCGCCACACTGAAACTCTTAAGAAAATTAATTGCCTGGCACATTGATGACCAGTTGTATTCCCTGTTCCTGTGTGTGTGGAGCAGTCTGCACTACCTCTGAGTAGAACTACCCTGCACACACTGACATTTCTCTGCTAAGAGCCCAACCTGCTGCTGGGGCATTTCTTTCAGTGCAAACATGTTTGCAGTGGTACTTTGGCTTTAGATGATTTATTAAAGATGCAAAGCTTTTACGTCGTGTTTAATGCATTAGCTGAGAAACATTTTGATTCTTTTCTTCATGTCTCTAAGCACTACCTAGAGCTATGAAGGTCACATACATGTTATGGCTACCTAAAGGAGTTGTAATACCTGCAGTGCATTGTAATGGGTATTTCAGTCTCGTGAGATCATCTAACCAGCCTTCTTTAAGCATTCTTCATACTCCAGTACTTCCAAAACTAATACTGAAAATATTCATCATGTCAACCATGTTGACACTTTGCATCTGCAGGCTCTTGAAACCACCAAGTGCCGAAATACAGAAAAATACTTTTTGTTTGAAAGGTCATCTGCAAAAGACAGAAAATTGGGTCTGTTCCTTGCTCACTTTTTAATACCGTCTGGAACTATAGTCTGAAAAGTTTATTCTCTGTTGTTTTGAAAAGTTGTGTAAGACAAAAAGAAGCATAATTCCCATATATGCTGGAAGACTTACTGGAAAAACAACGAAATGTTGATGTTGCAAGAGCTGGGCAAAAAACTGAGCAATATAGAGGGAAAAGGCTATTGTAATACAGTCTTAAAATATTCATACAACACAAGACTCATGACTCCTATTAATGATAATAATAGTAATATTCTATTACATTTAACAGGAAATAGTTCTTCTCACAGCTCTTCGTACAAAAAATTGGTGGCTAGAAGTTTAATAAAATGGGATATATAACAGAATGGACTTGTAACGCATTTCTACTCAAACCTTCATGTGATCAAAGTCCACTGTATTAAAGGAGATATATTTTATATAGACTAAATAAAAAATAATTTGAAATCAGAAAGAACAGAATTGCATCGGGATCTGTGATAAAAGGAGGACATTATTAGTCCTCTTGCAGTACATGGCAAGTATTACATTCAGGCTGAGTCTGTCATAGTTCCATTGCCTGACTGTCCTTCTAGATAAAAATAACTCTTTTGAGTTTTCCTGGATCTGACTTAAGATAGGTCCTTCGTTCTACTTCATCCTCCCTCCCTGTAAATGTGAAGGTTGATCACTGTCTTCTTCAGGACAATCTCATCTGTGTAAGAAGCTGCTGTGGTGACCTCTTCAGCCTGCTCTGCTTTTAGACCAAATAAACTCCACTTCTTCAGCCCTTCCATGCAGGTCATATTTCCAAGTCTCATCGAGACTCTCTCTCATTTGTCTGTGTCTTTTTCAATATAATGTCCACATCAGCAGGGTATTTAATGAGGCTACATTAACACCATTTCAAACAACATAATCACTTGCTATGCCTTTTATATATATCTGTATTACTACACCCCTGGAGACCCTCTGCCTTTTTAGCCAAGTTGCCACAATGGAAACCTCAAAAGCTGAATGTTACTTACAGTGCCCAGTCCACAGCAATTATCAACGTGATGTCGTCTGTTGGGAGCCCGACCGAGGTGAGAACAATGACCATTGTCACCAGCCCAGCCTGGGGGATGCCTGCAGCACCTATGCTGGCAGCTGTTGCTGTGATACTTTAACAAAGAAAGAAAGGAAGAAGCTTTACCAGTGATGGGTTGCTCTGCAAGAAGCCACATCATGTTCCTACAGGAGCTTTCCCAAACCATACTCCTTCTCACACAAGCCACTGCAAGGAAGTGCCAGTGTGTTGTGGACACAAACCAGGTGAGAGCAAAAACAGGCCAAACTGTCTGCCCAGGGCTAAATTCTCCCTCTCAGCTTTCACAGCCTTGGCACTGGTGGGGCAGTTCTGTTACCTGTTACTGCCAGAGGTGCAGAGCAAAGGGCCCAGCCAGGCTGTGGGTTGTGTCAGCTCCTTGTGGGTTATGGCACCACAGAGCACTGCGTGCCATGAATCTGCCAGCACTGCTCATCTCTGCTTCCCCCTTGGTAGCAGAGCTCCCAGCAGACACCTCTGAGTCACCATGGGCAGTCCCTGTGCCAGGCAAATCCGTGCCTGGCTGAGCCTGGGCCTTTGATGTCAGTCCCTCACAGAGAGGTGAGGCCAAGGGAAAAGAGGCTGGGCCAAGGTGAAGACCTTGCACAGCACATGGCTTTGCGGACTTGGATCTAAATATTCAGCAGGCATGAATGTGACTGTACATCTTCAGCTTCTGGAAAGTATTTTTACTTGACCTTCACACCATTTTTTCATCCAGGCAAGCAGAATTGAATGGGAGACCAGGGCAAGAGTGGACCTGGCAGGCTTAACGTTTTTTTCATAATGTTACTTTTAGGGGAGGGATTTAATTCCTTTTTCCAGGAGCAAAAGTGACTGGATATATTCATTTCTACCAATCCAGCCACTTCCAAGAGCTAGGCCATCCAGCAGAAAGACAAAACCCAAAGGTTGACAGTTGTAAAAGAATGACAGAAAGTGCATACACTGCAAATCCACTGCATTCATCGGTCCAGAATGTCAGAGCTTTTGGCAAGCAGTTCAGTGTCATCACCCTCCTATGGAAAATGAGGGTAACAGTAATTACCCACATGGAAACTGAAACACAGAGAGATCCAGTCTCTTGCTTACAGCTGTACAGTGGACCAGTACAGCAGCATCAGGATTTCTAACTAGAGCCCTTTTCTGCAATGAAAAAAACCCCAAACATTTGCATGTGAGTGTGATGGGCAACAAGAAAGACTTAAAACTACATTTTGAAAAAGTTAACTTGCTTAGCATCCTGATAGCATTGTAACAGAATGTAGGTGGAAAGGAAGGGACACAAGCTCAGTAGCTGAGTAAGAGATAACTATAATGAACATTAAAAGGCTTTTGTTAGTGCTATGAACTGACTGGCTGATCAGAACTGCTGCTGCCTCTTAGGGCAGTTCAGGCCAGAAGGTCTCATGACTTAATTGGGAGCAAACCCAGGAACATTTGTCTAAGATTGTTCCATTCCATTTTTACCTTAATGTAGATGTTTCTTTCTATAATATGCTCAGTTGATGAAAACAGAATCTTTACTCTCTTTCTCTGCTACATCTTTGTTTGCAGAATCAAACTGATAGAAACTGTCAGCCTGGATTTTACAAACTATGAGCAAAGTAGACTGATTTTTTTTCCTAACATTTTTCCCCTCTGGCAAAAATACCCTAGAACTCAGAATATTTGAATTTTAAATCTCGAGGTCCCAAAGTCCTAAGATCTGGGGCAGATTTTGGATTAAGATATTGGAGGTACTGGATCCACTGCCATTTCCTGTTTGCCGCCTTCTTTTGTAAGTGAGTCTTTTTATTTCTTTTCCTTTTCTGGATTTTTCCAATCTTTATTTGTATCTTCATTCCACTGTTTTACCTCTGTCTGGTCCTTGTGTACCAGCACTTAATGTGGGGAGTGAAAATAAGAGATAAAATAGAGTTCTGCTTAGAGAAAACTAGAATTTACCTTCTTTCCATTTACCATCCTCCTCCTCCTCCTCCTTAATTTTTAAAATTACCATTCTTTACTTCAAAGTGTATGTAATGTCTGCTCATGCTCTGGGCCATATTTTGGGATTACATGCTAAAAAAATCTCAAAATTCCAAATCAGAAAAGACTAAATTTTAGCACAGGGGCGTTCCAACAGTTTTCAAAGAGAGCGCGAGCCTGAAGCAAGAGCTCATATGGGTACAATTTGTTTCTTTTTCATCTGGTCTACCCAGATCTTGCCAGGAGCCCATTAGCAAACCTCAGCTGTCACATGGGGTTTGTTTCAGGACTCTCCTCTTCTTGTCATGAAGGTTTTCAGGTCCAGCAGAAGACAGACAAGGCCCAGCAGTGTGAACGGGGCAGCGGTGAGGTCAGTGAGTGGGTAGATAAGCACATCTCAAATATGTTGCACAAGGCTCTGACTATGAGGAATGTTTTTATAATCATTTGTTCCCTGCTGGAAACCTGCAGGTTTCAGGCCCTGAGGGATTCTTTGGCAGTCACTGGAGTTATTCTGGCAGTAATTGTTCAGCTGGATCTTCTAGTCTTTTGGATCCACTACAGACTTTTCAAGGATGGAGTACACAGCCATAGCACTCTCTGCCCACTGAGAGCATGGTTGTTTATGAAGTTTTCTGCTTTAACAAGCAGCAGAGAAGACATTTTAAAAATATCTGAGAGATATGACATATTCATGAAAACCTGCCCTGATAGTAGCATCTGTCCCCCTTCCCTCTTCCCCCTGATCCTCCAAGAGCTTCCTAACAGACTATTCCCCATTATCTGAAATACGACTTCTAGTTTTGCATTTTTTAACCTTTTCCTCTTGTGTAAAGATGCAAATCATGCTTGAAATTGAAAACTTTCCTGAAGTTTAAAATAGTGTTTGAAACAGCAATAACAGTAAAATGTCCCAGTCCTAAAGTGATCAGTTATCACTAAATGAGATAGTTATCCTAGTTATGAGATAACCAAATGAGATGGTTATCCTCCAACAGGAGCACATTTCCTGCTGTCCACGTGCCTGTATTGAACAGGAGCAGAACAATTTCTCTTTGTGCAGTCCCTGAGCTCTGCATTACTTAAAAACAACCATTCTGTGAGGAATGCACCTTTGGATTACCTTATGGTGATGATCTGCCCAAAGTCCAGCTCGTAGTTGTTGACCTGTGCGATGAAGATGGCGGCCACGGCCTCATACAGCGCCGTGCCATCCATGTTGATGGTGGCCCCCACGGGCAGCACGAACCGTGCGATCCTCCTGTCCACGTGGTTGTTCTCCAGCAAGCACTTGAATGTGATAGGCAGGGTGGCTGAGCTGCAGAACACCAAAGAAACACATGCTGATTTATTTTTATTTCTGGGGAATGAATGAGTTGTAGCAAACCTTCTCCAGGCAGGGGGGATTTCACACTGTCTGGGCACTGCTCTGCACTTGTGCTCACTTGCCAGGTAACTCGCTCCTCTGCTTGAGGAAGGATAAAGACAGTTACATCTAAAAAAGGCATAAATGAATATCTAATAGTGCACTTTGCTTCCCCAAAGTTAAAAATATTGTTCTATCTTTCCCTCTTTCAGAAAAAAAGGGACAGAAATCCCACAGAGGCAATGTTGTACACTCAAATGAAAGAAAGACGAACACACTGTGCAGCTTGATAGTAGAATCTCTGAAAATTGTTGTGCACTCATGGATTCTAAAAGTGTTTCCTTCCAGGCCCGCCTCATATGTAAACAATTTCTTATTTCTGCAAGGGGTTAGGCAAAGATCTGATCAACAGCATGCCTGAAAATAAAAGTTACAGACCAAACTTCTGTACTTGGGAATGTAAAATCCCATTTCCTCTCTGGCACAGGTCTGCCCACGTCCCTTGTGTGATCATATAACAACCACATAATTGCAGGTTCTATAATGATGTGTACATATGTAAATGGGATGTATGTGTGTGGAATAGAATGGAATTGTATAAGACTGTTTGACAGGTATTTATTTTACAAAAAGCTTGATCCGTTCAAAACTTTAACCCTGAATTTCATACCCTGAAATCTGATTTTTGTTTTCGTAAACTGAGACAATTAATAAAATATTACATGGTCATAAATTTTCTCATTTTCAATAGGATGCACACATTTTTAAATTGTAACACTTTGATACATGTTCATTTGTATATTTTATAGGTCTTTTTGTAACATTCTGCATTTTACCATGTGGTGTCACATTCACTGTACAATGAGTAATTAAACTGCATTCAAGTGAGTGAGTAATTTTTATGGCACATCAGTTTGTATGGAAAGTAAGTAACACCACTAAAGAAAATATACAAATGCAAGATATTTTCCTTGTTGTGATACCAATTTTAATATACTGCTCAGTCTCTGAGACTATTTAAATACATGTAATACAGCAAACTCCTTCAATATTATTCCAAAGTTACCTCTTTAAAAAGATAGTTATAGGGGAAATGTTGGTATCATGATACTAAGTGTCTTTAATGTCCTGTTCTCATGTGATTTTCATGCCCTGATCCATGAAATAGAGGTGTCTTTCCATTGTTTTGGGCACTTCAGATGGATATGTCACCGTGGGTTGGGATCTTCACATCAGCAATGTGGCTCTGATACCTAATCTTACAATGGCCATTAGCTGTTCTGAATTGAAGATAACACATTTGATCTACAAAGTGTTTCTTAGTCATTACAAATGACCTACAAAGGATTCCAAAAACTCTGAAATCATAACCCCAAGTTTGCAAGAATGTGTAAGAAAAATGTTTCCGTGAGTAGGAGTTGTCATTTGGTATTTGTGCAAGCAATTGTTTGAGGAAAGTAACAGTGCTTGGAAAGGAAAAGAAACTTCCTGCAATAGAAACACAAAAGAAAAAAGATATTTTCATTATGATACCTCTGTTTTCTATAACTTTATAAAGCTTGACTGGTGAATGATTTACTACAAACTGGCAGCCATTGCCTGAAAATCTGGACAAAAGTCTTTCTCTAAGTATGGAAATAAACTGAAAGGGCGAGGAAGCAATGGAAATCTGATTACCTCAAATAACTGGGGTATATTAAACTTTTCCATTCAGGCAGTCCTAATATTTAATCAATATTTAGTTTGAAAAACAAACCCATCAAAGCTTAACCCCATAACCCCCCTAACTGCACATGAGATGTCATTTCTCTCTGGGCATGCCTATGATTTTACACACAGTCTTTTGTGAATGACTGAAATTCTCTGTGTCTTGTTTACCATAAAATAAGAGGATGAAGGTGGAGCTCACAGATAATGTAGAACTGAACACCCTGGTGGAGCTGCAACCAGGAGCAGACCAGGAGCACTTCTAGGTGTTCTAACCATAGGCATGGCCAAGAAATAATTACTTAATTTGCTATTCATTGTCTTCCTTCCCTGCAGCTACTTCAGTTGTGGAGGGTTTCTTGTTTTTAAAGACAGTCTTTCCTCTGCCATTTGGCTTTTTTATAAGAAAACCCTGTCTGATTTCTTTGTGGGACAAAGAGGAGAAAAAGGTAATCTTACAGGGCCTTTCCACCTTGCCCACACTCTGACATACCAGAATATTAAACCTCAGTGTCTGCTTGTTCTGAGAGCTGAGCTGTGAAATGTGCAAATTTTAGCTGATTGACATGTTCCAGTTTGGTTGAGGTGTGACAAAGATTGTGCAAAACAATCCCATAATACCAATGGCACAGACAGCAAAATCTGTATCTGTTTCCATTGTTGTAAACCAAATGTGTGACACTGTTTGTACGAGAATTCAACTTGTAAACTTGTGCTCTATCTCAGAGTCAGGTGTGTCTTCCCTTTGAATTTTGTGCTGGATGAAATCAAATTTCTAGGGCACGTGACAAGGCCAATGGGTTTGCTGTTTGTCAAGTATTATAATAAAGAAGAAAATGGGCAGAATATAAGTGCAGTGATGATGCGAAACATTGTGCAAGATATTGAAAGGAAACAAATTCCCGGGTCATGAACTCTTGTACCTTCCTAGCACAGGCAACTACTACAGAGTTTCACTCAAATTTACGACACTGCATCCTTAGAGCCAGTAAACTGTCTGTCCTGACGACTCCTGCTGAAAGGCTTTCCAGAACTCACTGCTCAGATGAGAAATTCAATTTACAATCTAGTTGTACTCTTCTCAATTTACACTCACTTTGCTTTTATGTGCCTTATGTATTTCTCCTTGCATAATCAGCTGTTACAACACATAATGTTGGAAATCAACTTTGTTCTCTCTCAGCCTGGATTGACCCAATCAGATTTCCAAGTCTTCTCTTAACAGATTGCTGCTTTACATCCCTGATTACCCTTTCAGCACCTGTTTCATCTCAATGAACTTTCCCTGAATACAGGTGACAAAAATGATTTGGAGCATCCCAGGAGAGGTTGTCTTGTTCAATGATGGTTCATTTTTATTTATGTATCATCTGCCACATACCAGAAAAACATATGTCTTATTTAAGACTTTGGCTGTTGGTGACTTACAGGTGGCAGTGAAAAAAAAAAGAGTTCCTACTGCAATTTTTGAGTTATATAAATATATAATTTCAATATTATAAAAAACATTATCAAATTAATACTTTAATTTGCCTCTCCAGTTAAATTAGGTGAAGTTTGTTTTCTTGAAAGCTATTTTATTTATTGATATTTATTTAGTGTTAAACAGTGGAGCAGTAACATCAAAGCCTGACATTTAACATTTATTAGGAGGAAAAAGTGCACTCTGAAGTGCTGATCTTAATCTGTTAAGTCTTTTAAAAACTGTCCTAAAGCTTTCAGCTGAGAGGTATCTTTTCCCAGCACTAACTCCAACAATTAAAAATACATTTTCAGAGTCTTATCTCAATTTTGGGATAAAATGCTGCAGCTGCAGAGACTGAGTATAAGCTAATGCTGGATCAGGCCAAGCTCTTACTAGTGTGAGCCACAAAGACAGCTAGTCACTGTGGAAGAGCAGCTGTTCAGCTGCTCTGTTTATCTTATCATTCAAATGCATTTTGGTATTTGCTCCAAAAAATCAACAAACTGATCTCATCTCCCGTTTCTAAATCTGCCTTCAATTTACACTCTGCAATAGCCAAGATCTCAGCGTTTCATAAGCAGCAAACCCCTTGAAAAAGTCGTGGTTTATAACTTGTCTTCAGAGAAGATGAAAATTGCTTCTTTTGATGGGATGTGCCACTGAAAAGATGCTGCTTTAATTCATTAATGGTACGGAGAGATGACCTAGAAAAACAAAATTCCCTCTTGCCATTGGAACGAGGAAAGCTAAAATCAAGAATTTTGCCTTTAGGCCAGATATTGCTTTTTGAGAGTGCTAAGTGGTGACAAGATCAGGGGGATGTGGGGGGACAAAAGCAGTAAGTGAAAAATCCCCAACTGTGCAGCCTGAACCCCCCAGGGCAGGGCAGGGTGGGCAGTGGCAGCAGGTGCTGCACTCCCCTCACTGAAGCAGTGAAGACAAACCAGGAAAATTGGGAGAAATATAAGGAGACTGAGAATGGGGTACAGAACCTTTCACTAAGGGACGTGAGTTGAAATGTTGTTCAGATTCAGTAAAATCATTGCCATGAGGTGGCTGCTTACAGGCTTTCAGCTTCCCCTGGGTTACATTCTTGGGTTTTGTAAATGGGATTGTTTTTGCTGCTTGTAGTTTGATTTTTAGCTTTGAAAATAAGCTTTCCACAGGTGAAACGAGTATCAGCCCACTGATCTGGGGTTTTCTATCTTTAGATGTAGGCATCAACTGACACAGAATTATCTCCAAGAAACACATCAGTATTCTTAAAACCAGCTCTTTGTTCTCCTCCAGGATGATCTGAAAATCCAATACCCACATGATGAGTGTTATATAATGCCCCTGTGGCAAGTCTGATTTAACCAAACACACATGTGCTGACTGTCAGGAGAAGCAGCTCTCCTGTCCAGCCCCAATTATTTGTGCATGTTCTTTTGGCAGCAGCTCAGTTATGTGCAGTATCCATTCCTTTCAGAGCAACCAAGGTGAAAAGTTCAGCTCTCTCTAGACAAGGCACTGCTATTTGAGCAGGAAAACATTAGAAACCATGTTGGGCCTGTGTTGGATTTGCAAAATATACACACTCTTAAGAAGGGACAGACAGAGCTAAATCCATCAAACATGTCCAAGCCTCAAATTCGTATGTACAGAGCCTTTCCTCAGGATTCACCTTAACTTTAGTAGTACATTAACTCCTGTCAATAAAGATACTAAATCTGGTAGCAAGTCCTGCTGGAGGTTCTTGACAGGCTGAGCTGCCAGCTGGTGCCAGAGCTCTGTTCCCAAACTACACCCTCTCTGGGCCTATAAATATGTCATTATTCCTTACACTGCTGTCTCTAAGCCCTTGATGTCCCTGGAGCTGTCAGAGCTCAGGGAAAGTCAAAGCCAGCACAGGTTTAGGAGAAATCTGGACTCCCCATGTGTTCCCTGCTGTCAGTGGACACTCTCATGTCAGCTTGGGATAAGGAAATGGGGCTGAAAAAACCTTCAAGTATTGGTTTACCTTGAAGAGGCTCAGCAGAGACAGACACCTCTCTCATCAGTTCTGTAGGCTGAGATTTTGGCTTTATAGCTGTGCCTGATCAGCCTGTCTACCTCTCCTTCCCATGATGGCTTTTGGGGCTCCTTCCTAGGAGTCCAGCTCTCCCAAGGAAGAGCTGAGTTCTAAGATGAACCACAAGCATCCTACAAGTTGCCTGCAAGTTAAACTGTGCAGTGACAGTCCCTGTGATGTGCAGATCTGTGAAAAGAGCTTGCTCACATTTTATAAGTCTTATTAAACCCTCCTTGTTAAAAGTACCCATACTCATGAAAAAGTTGGATATTTTTGTTGCTTTTTAACAGAAAAGGAGAAGGAAAGGACAAATTCTTCTATGGATGCTAAAGATAAAACAAGAACAAAAATTTCCTCTTTTCTTTTTTTCCTAAAAAGAGAAATATTCAGGTTAGATTTTTAGGAAAAGTTATCTCTTTCTAGACAAAAAAAAAAAAGAGAGAGAGAGTGAATGGAATAACACAGCTTAAAAAAGCTGAGTTGTCAGCAATAGAGTTCTTCAGAAACAGAATTCCTAGAGGAGCAGGGCAGATAGTCAAGTGTGTCAAATGTGAGCCTGATGAGCCTTTTCCAACACTAACATCTTGGAGTGCAAAATTAGCATCCTACTTGAATCTGGGCATGTGACAATATCCCAAGCTACAAACTTTTTATGTTCTAATAAAAAAGCTTCCTTTAATTATTTAAGCCTAATTGGAGTTTAAACATCACCCAGCATGTAATTTTCCTTGATTTTGTATTTCACAGTATGTTGCTCTTTATAGGTCATTTTGGAGCAAACTGTTATATATGCAACACCTTGTAAAATGTAACACATTGGAAAGCCAATACCTTCTGTAGTGAAATAATAACTCCTTCCTCTCCTTTCTTTTAATCTTATACATTCCTCCTGGCACAGATGCCCTGAAACCGTGTTGTCGTATCAGCTACACAGAAATGCTATTTTGTTATTCCTGTCTCCACTCCATGCAAGGCAATTCCAGCCCTTTCAACCACATCTCATGCACCAGTTAATCCCTGTTGGGAGTCACTTTTCAAAAGCTGTTTCCCATTTTCATTGTACCTTTGTTCAGCTACAATTAAAACTCATTGTACATCCTCCCTAAAAGGGATGCAAAAAATACTATTCCTTGAGCAGAATAGCTGAATACTTTTCCAGTGCTGGACAATAGCTTGCAACCACAGTCTTTTCTTAATGTACCAAGAAACAAAGACTAAGATGAGTAGAAAGGGTAAAATGTTTCCACATGACTGAAAGAGGAGATTCCCAGCTAATACCAAAAATGCAGTCTGGACAAACTGTGTGTCCCTCATATATATTAACTTTGTATATATATTTTTTAATGGAAAAAAATCTTATTTCCTTTTAAGTCCTCTAAGAAAACACATTTTTGTCCAGTATTTTTTAAACCAAGGGAAAACTGCGACAAACATTATTGTCAAATGGCTGCCACAGAACTTCCAAATGTTGAGAGATGTGTTTTTAAAAATTATAGCAGTGAATCGGACCATTGCTCCGATACAGGTGTATCTGCTCCACTACAGGGATGCTGTTCCCAATAGCAAATATGTCATTTCATCTGTCTAGAAACTCTACAATACCTGGAGGATGTGGCCAGAGCAATGAGCAAGGCTTGAAGAATCCCTCTGATGAAGACAATGGGATTCTTCTTGGTGATGAAGAAGTACATCATTGGCAGAATAAAGAGCCCGTGCACCACCAGGCCACACACCACTGTGATGGCATAGAAACCCAGCTTCTTCCCAATGGCTGAGGGGTCATCCATTTCTAGGATTTTGCCAGCAATTAGGAACACAATTCCAAAGGGAAAATACCTGAGCAAAAAGAAAGTCATTATTAGGAGGCAGCTCCCTCCTATCAAACACTATGAGCTGGGAAATCCCTCCTGGAGCAGAGCTCACAGCAGCCTGTCTGGGTTCTGTTGTTTTGTCAGACTAAGCCCCTCTTTCACACGTGAGGAGTGTGACCAAAGCACAGCTGAGGTTGTGATGCTGGTCAGGAACCACTTGGAAATGTTTTGGTTCAGAAGGCAGCTCTAACTTCTTAGCTTAAGGCTCGTAAGCTACTGGGAAGGAAGGGAATGAATCCTAAGCTCTGCTCATAATAACTGTTCATGGTTATTGGAAGCTGTTAAGTAAATGTTTATGTTGCCTTTGGAAGACAGAGGAGAAACACCAACATACATTAGACATGCTCTTGGACTGCCTGGGAGTTTGATTTGGGGCAGATAAATAGGCAGAAGAATAGTTTCTGAACCCCCTCTGGACAGGTGTTCTGTGAAAACTTATGTTTCTGTGCACAGCTACATACAAAGCCATGGGTGCCAAAAGAGCTTGAGATTAAAAGGTAGCTGGAAACAAAGGCTGAGTGCTGGCAGTGGTTCCCCCCCATGTCAGGTTAGGGCACACTGGGGGACCTTCTGAAGGGTGGGGAAGGTGCTGAGCTGATAGTTTGTGTTGTTGGCAGTCACCTGCTGTTCCTCTGATCTTTGGGACAGGTGGGTTGGCAGGTCTGGCTGGGTCTACAGCAGTGCTGTAAGGAATGGAGATACCAGCTGGAGCATCCCCTCGTGCTTCTCCCTTGTGTGGGCTGGGTGTACTATAATCCCTCTTGGCATGCCCAAGGATTGGCAGTGCCCTTAGGGCATACAGCACACCCCCACCCAGCTATGCCATATTTCATTGTTTGGGAGTAACATAGAGGGTGCCCCTCTCAAAATGACAGTACAAGCCAGGCACAGGATGTGTGTGCATCTTCAGATGCTGAGGTTCTGCAAAACTAAGGATCATTCACCCTCATTTATTTCCCTGGAAATAAGTTTGTGAAATTTCTGTACATTCTCTTCTGTTGACATTTTCTTACTCTTTAAAAAAAAATTCTGATTTTCTTACAAAAACAGTTACTTACCAAACAGCAACTGCCACAATCTTCATGACAGATTCGTTCAAACACTGGCAAAAGCTGACCAAAGGAACTCCACTGTTCCCCATTCTCCCCAACATTATACCTGCAGTCAAAAGCATCAAGGTTCAGTTTCTCAGGTGCCTTCACACAAAGCCCCAGTGCTTTCCCCCTGAAAAACATTTTCTAGGGAAGGATCTGTCTCTGCCTCACCCCTGTGTGCTGTGTACAACCTGGCAGCACCCATGGGACACCTGGGAGGCAAAGCCAGGCTTTGAGGTTTGCTCTGGTAATGGAGTTAATAATGAAGTCTCCATCTTATTTTTAGTAGTTGTCTGTCTGCATAATTACAACCAACCCTCATAATCAGTCAGGCTTTGCAAATTTAGGGGAGGTAAGGAAATGCAAATTTATGAGAAGAAAAGCCAAGTTGCTATAAAGACTAACCAGTAAAGAAGAAAGCAAGTAAATCTCCTTCATGTGTGCCCAGTGCTCAGAAAGGAAATGAACAGAGCTCTGGGATGTGTCATCTAACCATGTATTCTCCAGACAGTGGTAGTTTCCATTAATGCATATAAATAGATGACATTTTCCTAAAGTTAATTATCTGCCATCCCTCCCTGAAAGGATTATAAGTGATGGAGTTAATTGCTCAAGGAAGCACTTCAAAACCGAGCTGCACCCTGCGAGGCAGCCTTTGAAGGAGCTGTGTGGGGACACAGGGGGCTGGGAGGGGGGTGTTGCTGCCACTTGCTCCGGATGTGCCGTGTCCCTGCTTTGAGCAGGAGCCTGGGCTCTGGCCCGTGGAGCCCACAGCTGCACTTGGGAACCACGGCTCACGTCCAGGGCAATTCCCTGCTGGGGCAGGGAGGGAGGCTGTCAGCTGGCTTGTCCAGGGATTTCACAATAACAGTGCATTCAAGATGTTTGTAAGCCTGTTAATATTCATCTAAGCTGAAAAGTTTAGGTCAGAAAACAACACTCTTTCATTAGGCATGTTGCTCATATTGTAATAGGACATTAAATATAGTTCAGCTCTTCTAGTTGATAGACTCTTATCTTCTAAATCTCTATAATGCCAAAAAAAAAGAAATGTCTTCTTTTTAATTTTACAGGAATGACTGTGATTTGCTCTTTAAAACACTATCCTACCTAGGCATGTGGGTATGGGGGGACAGAGAAGTGGGAAGGACTGAGGCCTCCTGTCTGCAGCACTGATGTCCCAGGGTACTTTTCAGTGCAAACATTTTCCTTGTAATGAATCAATAATATGTGCTCCATCAAGACAAAAAGATCAGATGTCTCAGTGCTTAGCTACTGTCATCATCTCTGCTGAGTCAGCATCAGGGCTTTACACTCTGCCTGTCATTTTAATGCGTGCCCAGCAAAGAAGTCCAGTCATTCACACACAAGATTTACTCCTGGACTGAGATTACTAAGCAATTCACCTCCTGCTTCAGGAAAAGACAGTTAGCTCAAGTCTAAGTTCTTGTCTCTTTATGCTGTTCAAGGACCTTAAGGAAGCTGTAATAAGAACTCATACCCAGCCTAGTGCTTTTTTTCTCTGGTGTAAAAAAAACTTTGTGCAAGTAAGACTCAACCGAAATGGGCAAAACTGCTGCAAAGCACCAAGGCCTGTATAATTTTTTTGCAATAAATAAAAGCTTTGGAAGGATGCTCTTCTTTCATAGAGATTGAAGCCACATGTCTTCTGTCTTATTGCTTCCATTGTGGGGAGGGGTCCAGAAAGCTGAGGACAGTGATAAGTGCTTGGCTGCATCCTTTGTTCAAGATGACAGACTGGAGGAGTCCCAGGGTTTGAGGGTTTGGTGTCTCAGGTTTGTTGGTGGCTGTCACAGTCCCAGGTGACCCAGCAGGACCATGATGTAGGTGACAGAAGTGGTACTATAGTTTTTGTACATCAACCAGGGAGAAACCAGATCTCAGCTTCCATCTCTGGTGCCCCAGGCCAGCAAGACTGGGGGACATGATAAAAGTCACACATTCAGTTCTGGGAAGACAATGAATGATCTTCTGTGCTCAGAAGTATAAAATTGCCCTTGATCCTAATAAGTACATGTAATTAATTCATTCATATCCAACACATTCTGACTGGAATTGTGTTTGTGGTGCCACTGCACTTTGGAAATTCACTAAAAAATACTACAAACTGGAGGACAGCCAGTTTCCAGCAGGGTTGTGTATGGAATACCACCCACTGGAGAAACTATAAAAACAGAGACAAATCCACTAATTCGAGGCTCGAATCTTGACCCCTTGTGCTGGTCTGAACCATAATATAATAAATCCAGGCAAAGATGTTTTATGGGACTACCTCTGCTGACCAGATTAACTTCCAAGAATAAATTTATGTAAGGAAAATCTGATCAGCATTTTCTTATAAAAATCATCAGAACTTTATGATTAACTAGGACATGTTTGTTTAAATTTCTTCTTCCAAATCCACAAACATAATATAACACATATGGCACCAATGAGTTCCTCCAGAAAGTTGAACTGAATAAATAAGCCACACAGAAGCTCTTACAGTCCACTGTGACAAGCTACTAGATGGTATATAACCCTCAACATTGCAGGAGAGCAAAAATAAAATGAAGTTTTAATCAAAAAAAAAGAAGATCCACAGATTTAAAACTCATAAAATATCCAGCCAGGAGAGGGGAGCCAGGGGTGTCTCAGCCTGATGCCCCTGCAACCAACAGCAGTGTGGGAAGTTCTTTATTCTTGTAAAACAACACCCGAAGCTCTGGGCATTAGAAGTGTATGAACTTCTCAGGCTTTGGAAAGAAAGTCTGCTGTGGACTTGTTTATTGCAGAATTTCTCGAAACTCTGAGATTTTTCTACTATCCAGAGAGTAGAACAGAATGCTGGCAAAGGGGCCGTGGATCTGACCTGGTGTAGTCCTGCCTCCTGTATTAGTGCTTCTTACAGTCAGCAAAAAATGGTTCATAAATAAAAGCTCAAAATAATGGAGAAAAAAATAAACCAAAAAGAATGCAAGTGTATGCACACAAAACAGAACTGCATGGATTTTGAAAATTTATCTTTGACAGGTTGGGAAAACAGCTCTGTAACAGTCTTGCCCTTTTCCCTCACAAAGTTTAGATAGAAACAGTTAAAAAGCTGAATCAATAAACCAAGCAACCCAACCCCAATGCTTTTCTCTTAAATGGATACTTGGATTATTACAAACCAAACGTATCTGAAACCTACCCATGGTGGCAGAGAATATCACAATCCCCAGCACATTCATGCCGTCACTCGTGCCTGGCTCTGATTTGTAAATCACTTCAGGAGGGGGAGTGATATCCAAGGCAAAGTTCTGGATGTTGGAGCCATTCTCATCCTGGACTCCATATATTATAATGCGACGAGTGGTGCTTTCAGATGAGGCTTTGTTGGATTTAACAATGGGAATACTCCTGGTGCGATACTGAAATAAAACAAAAGAGTTTTTACTCTAACATCCCAGCAGGAATTAATAGTTTAGTGAGATCTCCTAAGTGCTCTGTTTCAACAAGGCTGCATGTTAAAGGGACAAGCATGAAAAGAATGACAGCTCCTGTCCCTGTGCTGCTAAAATCTGTAAAAGTAGTTGAATTTTTTGGAAAAGCATAACAAAATCAGAGTTTCCTCTAATCAGACCCTTGTGCAGCAAACACATTGTCTCCTGACAGAGCTACATTCCTATAAGACAGAATTGGGAATGACTCCCTAGAGTGCCCTTCTCTCTGTCTCACCAGAGGTGAGGTTCCCATGAAATATTCCCCCCGGTGAAATAACTACAGCCATGCCTCTTGCTCACTCAGAATTTTTAGATGAGGTTTTCTGGCCAAATTCCAATGAGTAATTAGATTATTCACAAACACATTATTTTGTTGCCTTAATTGAACATGGTATCCCATTCTTCCTTTGTGTGGTGTTACTGGGAGCTCTTAAAGAGACTCCAGCTCTCCTCAGGTGGAGGTGGAGCTGACACAGCTGTGCATGTCGCCTCTCTGGTCACACTAGGGAGAGTTTGATGCTTCTTTGTTTTGCCTTGGGACACCATGGCTGCTGAGGCTATGGAAAGGGACCCATTAACTGCTGAAAGTGCTAACAGTATCTAAAGCAATGTGCCATGTCTGTATGTGGATTGTGTTCACAAAGATACATGTTCCATATGATGCTGGCTCATCTTTCATCAGGAAAAAGAATATAACTACTTACCTGCTTGAATGTGGCCTCAACAAGATTGGCTGGAAACATGTTCCTAAAAATGAACAAATAGAAGAATAATTTCTGTGGAACTGAAACCAACTTCTGTTTCCTGTGTCTTGGGTCTCCCACAATAAATCAGTTCTTTATCCTCCCAGAGAGCCAGGGTGGAGAGCCCTGCCCCTCTCTTCTCCTCAGAGTGCCATCCAGCCAGCAAGGCTCAACAGAGTCAGTTCCACAGAACTGAAGTTTTGGGACTTGCTTCTGAATACCTGCACAGAGACCCAGGAGCTCCAGCTTCAGTTTCTGACTCTGCCACAATCTCCATTTTATAACTGGGGCAACATAATCGCTATAATTCCCTCCCCCATCTACTAACTTTATTCCATAGTTTGTCTTCCCTAGTTAGATAATGAGCTGTTCAAGACACAGTCAGTGTTCAGGGATGTATTCCTGAGACCCCTGGGCGCTATAATCTACTTTGGGACTTCTGAGCACTCCTGTGAGTTAATTCATAAACCGTGGTACCCCCCGATACATTTTCATCACTGGAATTGTAAGTGGTGTAAACTTTGCAGTGGTTTGGTCAAGAACAGTTTGCTTTTCAAAAAGAGAATATCATTCCTGATTAAAAGAGTTGAGATTAGAGCTGCACAGTCTCTGCTATATTTTACTTTCATATGGTTCTGAGGCTTCAGAACAAGAGCCTGAATGAGGCCAACAACTCATTTTTGCTGAGCTACAGAGGAAGACAATGAGCAAATGCTGTGAGATCTACAGTGAGACTGACGGACTTTTAATTCCAAAAGGGACTGGTTTTGTCACCTTTTCTGACTGTATCTTAGTCTGTAACATTTCACCCAATAATGTCTAGAGCTAGTTTATAACTGCAGTGTGATCCAGATTACTACTTTGCAGAAAGACATTCGATCCTAATTTGAAATGGAGAGCACACCCTCTACAGGCTTCAAAGAGGAATCAAAATATAGTTGGGCAAAAAATCTAAAAAGTCATATATTTCCATACAGCATTTGGGAATCAAGATTTGTGTGATGATTCTAATAGTATCATTTTCAGGACTGATTTATATCCAACCCTAAGCTTCTGAACCTGGAGGCAGAAGACAGTGACAGTCTATGACCTAATTCTCTGCTTTCATATATATATGACAGGAGAAATGCCTGAATTCTCCAACAAAATTACTTTTAATTTGAAGTCCTGCTTAAGCCTCAAAACAGGATAACACTTAAATATATGTGAAAAGCCTATTCTTATTCCAAAAAGAGTTGCTATGTATGTATCCAGCTAAATGCTGGATGGAGACATTTCCCAGAGCTGCTTTCCTCTTTCCAGCAGCAGCACATACTTTGTGCTAATGGAGTCACTGTGCAACCCTTGCTTAGAAAAAACAATTTTTTTTTCTATTTTAAGTGATCATCATATGACATTATGGTCACACTTAAAAGTATGAGGTAGGTGCTGCATCAGTAGCATCAGGCACTGAGAGCAATTGCTACAAAGAGATAATTAATTATCCTTTTTAGGTTAAATTAGAGGGAGAAGAATTTTAATTGAAGAGTAGTAGTACTGTCTAATGATTGAAACAGAAGACTCAAATGAGGTGGTTTTGTTGGCCTACTGTGTGAAAGCAGATGAGCCACAAAAAGGCATCATGTGTCATTTTGGTAAGGCCGGTGCTTTGGGTAAGCTGGTGTTACACAGATGAGTTACTGACAGGCAACAGATGAGGTTGATGAGCAGCACTTTAGTAAATCTTTAACTGTCCTGACCTTTCCTCACCTGAGGCAGGTGAGGCAGGTCAGATTAGCAACCTCTGGCAGGCAGACCTGGCATTCCTGGGGGATAATATTCACAGCTTCCACCCTGGAAACAACAGCACAAAGCGTGAGGTTGGCTCTGTAAACCCTCCACAAAGCTGGTAATTCTCTGGTTCAGATGTTGAATCTGCAGCCAAAGCAGGACACAGACAACAAGCAGCTGTGCTTCACTTTCCTATCAGGGCAGAACCTTCTGCCTGAGCCCTGGGGGCTTGGCTGACACGGGACTGAGTGAAGAACAGCTGGATGGAGCTGGACCGGGGAGGATGGAGGGGTTGTTTGTAGGGAGGGGAAGCACTGGAGAGGAAAGATGCTTACTGCTTTATTATGCTGCATGAGGGAATTCTGCTTCCCTCATGTTAAAGGCTTCATTAATATTAAATCATCTTTGGTTTGTGATTTGAGATGATGGGCGGAAAGGTGCTACAGGAGTGCACAGTGTGATGGTTGTGCCCTGGGCTGCTTGTGAATGTGAAATATTCTGAAAGAACAGATCCACCCTGAGCAGTCCTGCACAACTCTGAACATGCACCTCACGTAGGAGCCCTGGCTTTACACAGAAACATGAATTTAATTGCTGATGATTTCCACTTTCTCCCTCACAGTCCTAATTAGTAGAATTAAGAACAATTAAGACTGCTCGAGAAAGGAAATATCATATGGTTAGTAGCTAGATTAAATGTCAGACAAATTTGTAGAGGATTAAAGCATTTTGTTTCTTTATCATTCTTTATCCTGCAGGAATTACAACTACCCACTTAATACTAGATACTGGAATTCTCCCAATAGTTTTTAATATATTATGCACTGTGATCCAGTCTTTGATTCCAGCCTTACCAAAATTACACAATTTATCCAGTGAAAGGCTGACCTGAATGTTTTTGCCAGAGCCTCGGCTTATTTTTTATTTTAAGCTGGTTTACTTGGATTGAGAAAATCTAGTATTAGCCAAAATTAAGTTTTGTTAATTAAAAACATTTAAGAGAGCAATTGGTAGATGAGAACTTTAATGGACTACAATAATGAGGAGAAAGTATCAAACTGTCACCTAGAGCTGGGGGATGATTTGGTCCATTTGGGCCAAGATTGGCATTTTTACTGCTACTCTGGATAAGGTAAAGATCTACCCACATGGATCTGATATCAGGATCATGAAGTGAGGCCATGTCTGTACTCAGAACAGGCCCTGTGTTTATCACTGACCTGCACTGAATTAAAGACATTGCCAGTACTTATAAAGCAATAATTCAAGCTGAGCTAATTGCTGCTGTCGCCACCTATAAATGCTGTTGTGTTTATTCAGTTAGGAAAGCCAAGTAGATAAAATACTTCTAAAGTTTCAGCATTACTTTCAGATTGCTTACAAGACACAGAACACAAAATAATAGTGCAGAATACTTAGAGTGATCTGGGATTCATTTCTCTAGTACAGGCAACTTTGTCTCTAACCTCAGTGACACAATTCAGCATTCCTAGCAGAAATAATTTCACATAATAGTAGGGAATTAAATCTAGTGCATAACAGTGAGTGAGGATGATTTAAAACATAGATAAATTTAGGTCTGAGACAAGGATATGGTTGTAAAACAGAAACTGAGACATAAGCTTTCTAGTTATATAAAAAATTAACAGCTAAATAGTGCCTGCCCTGAGGAATAACATTTCCCAGAGCATCTTCTTCTTCCGGAGCTCTGCCAGACAGAGCAGGACCGTTCAACACAGGCTGAAGGGTGAATGTGCATGAAACTTCAGTCTCAGGTCAGTGAACCTTCTCCAGACCTGAGCTGCTGAGCCCCAGCTGGCAGGGGGTGGGTGCCCGGTCTGCATCTGCTGTGACAGCAGCACACGCGCTCAGTGACCTACTAATCACTGTCTTTGACCACAGCCTGCCAGCGTGCACAGCCTCGGCCTTCCAGCACATCTTGGAGGCCTTCCCTGGTTCTGTATGGGATAAGAGGATTCAGATGGAGATGTATCCAGTTAGAAATGTGTATGCATATGGAATATGGAACTACTATGGCAATGTGCGTTCTGCAATTTGGAGCCGTGGATTTTGAGAAAATCCTAAAGATTTGTATCAAGTACAGACAGCACCTGGTCTGAGCAGCAGGTCTGAGGGTGCAGCTTCCCATTAGACACAGGACTACCTAGTACCTTACACTGCCAAAAACAGGAGGTCCTCTTTCCTTTCCCATTGTCTCCCACAACTAACCTATGAATTAACACAATCGACCATTTTTACTCCTCTAAATTTCAGCTGCTTTAGGAAGCTGATTGGTGCTAGGAATCACTTCAGGCCATGCCTTGGCACTGCCCCCAGGACGTGGGAGCCCTCTTGCTCTCTTCACAAGGTGGCTGGCTCTGAGAACTACAGCAGAGATAGAAACACCAGCACTGTTAACCTGTGTTCCTGGGACACTCTTGGCTGAATTGCCCACAGAACATTAGCCTGCAGCTACTGGTGCTACAGTAGTGTCTGTTTGACATCTCCTGGATAACTTCTATTAGAAATAACAGACTGAATTCTGGTTGCAGTAATACTACTGAGTATCTGAAACACTCATTCTGAGTCCTGACTACAACATCTGTTAACTCAGAGCATTCAGCTTTAGCAGATCTTTTCAATGAGAAATTAGGCCATTGGCTCTAAGAGCAGCCCCAGGTACGGCAGATGTTGTTTCCTTGCCTCAGAACACCCCTTCCCTCTGGCACACTTTGTGCTCTGCAGAGCAATCTGGTTTTGCTCTCAGACTGATGTTATCAGCACCTAATCCCTGCCACACCAGACAGTCTGGCTGCAGTCTCCCACGCTGTGGAATTAAAGCCACCAGACTGGGTCTTTGCTACATACGTGTCCTCATAATATTTATTGGCCTATATTTGCACTGGGCATAAAGCAGCTTTGGACACTGCTCTCAAATTTGAACGAGCGTAGCTGAGCTTGCAGGAACATTGTTTTAAGGTTGAGAATTTGACAGTATCCTAATATCTAAGCTTTTGAGACCTTCTCTGTACAGCAAGGGTACAGAGAGAGTAAAAATGGAGTCTGAAGAGCTTCACATGACAACTGTAAAGTTTCCAAGTTTTTTTATGTATGTGTAGCACTGTGGTTCCTATTTACTATAGTCTGACATCCTTCTCAGTAGCATTATCCTAATCTCAAAAATTCATTTACTTTTGATGTCCTCTACATGATTTCATGATCAGCTGTGTAGAA